CCTAAGCACCAGAGCAATAGGTACTCTTACTTTGCCCCCTGAGACAATGCAGCAAATAACTGCAGGGTGTAAGATGCTGGCAGGGAAAGCTTATATAGAGCGCCATAACCAAGTGGCTGGAATAGTGGGAATAGTGTACAGGAACATCTGTGCAGAGTATGGGCTGGAAACCCCAAGGTCAAAGTGGGAAACACCTCCAAAGGTGGTAGAGAAGCCAAGATCCTTTGGGACTTCCAGATACAGACAGACCAAATGGTAATGGCAAACCATCCGGACATTGTGATGGTGGACAAAAAGCAGAGGAAAGCCGTTGTGGTGGACATACCAATACCAAGTGACTGCAACATCAGGAAAAAAGAACATGAAAAACTAGAGAAATGCCAGAAGAGCTGGAGAAAACCTGGAAGATCAAGGCATCAGTGGTGCCTGTGGTCATTGGGGCACTTGGGGCAGTGACAGGCAAACTTGAGGAGTGGTTACAGCAGATCCCAGGAAATACATCAGACATCTCGGCCCAGGGTGCAGTTCTAGGAACAGCAAAACCCTCAAGCTCTCAGGCCTCTGAAGACCGGAGCTTGGAGGAAAAAAGGGGAGAAGACCACCCCCGATGGGTGAGGAAGAGTTTATATATATATTTATTTATTTATTTTTTTTTTTCTCAGGACGATAAGAACTGACAAAAGAAGCCATAACTGATTTGTCCATTGGACCCATTTTGTCTCTACTGTAAACTTTAACGATTATTTAGACTTTACAGTCCCTAGTAAATTACGTCTATAATCATCACTGTCTGAAGTTTATAGTGTCTATTGTGTAGGAACACCTTTCGATTTCAATTAGGCTATGTTGCAACCCAAGAAACAACCCAAACAAGGCCAGATTTCTGGAGTTTACAACTACAGAGCCCCCTATCTGCTCAGCTTCAGTGCATGAAAGCCAAATACAATTCATTTAGTAAGGAAAAAAAAGACAGAAACATTAAAGTTTTTTTGCACCTGGGATTGCACAAATGTGGAAGCGAGAGCTCAGTGAAGGCCCTGTGAAGACATAGGCGCTTTGCCTAGACCAAAAAGGAAGAAGTGAAAGGCCTAAAGGTAAAACATAATCCCATTTAAGATAGAATTGTAACATCCAGCTGATGTTTGAAAAAATAAACAAGAAAATTAGGGCCATTATGGTTATGTAATTTACACCAAATTTTCCCCTAAAATTGTCTATTATATAAGTTTTCCCAGGTATCATGTCCTTCAGGACATACTCTATTAACAAATCCATCTAGACAGACGAACTGGCAGCAGTTGCTATCTTTTGGATTTTGTTGCATTGCAACCCAAACCTTTCTTGTCTGTTTTTCATGTTCTAACAAAATGTCTCTTCCTACATCTTTAATGAAATTAGAGTGTATATAACACTATCATAGCATTATCTGTGCTTCTGCATTTATTCTGCGAGCTAGAAGTTCATAAAGATGATTCTGAAAGACCCATCAGAACCCACTCAGCTGACATAAGTGTTTATAAAACTAACAATCTATTTGGTTACGGGCAACAAAGGAGGCATTGGAGATGCTGCAGCTATAGGAATTACTCTCACTTTATTGGCTTTGTGACCTTTTTTTCCACCAGCTTTTCTGTGAGAAGGCAGCACAGTATATCTACTATAAAGACAAAAAAAGCATTTTCTTTTTTTTTTTTTTTTTTCAAAAAAGGGTTAGGTCATAAAATTACTTAAAGCTAACCTTAGTAAATACAAATGTTCTGATTATTAAAGAAAAACAACCTTTACAATAATTTCCAAAAATACAAAGTATATATACAGATGAAAGATTTTACAAAACCAGCCACACATTTTGGTTCATTTGGTCTATATGGAAGGTTAAAATGGACAAAATACACATATCATGAAATAAATGCACTACATGATATAAGTAAATTGTATAGAGACCCTTACGACTACAGACATTTTCATAACTTGCTGCTATTTATTTACCCTTAATTTCTGGTCAGAATATGTTCAGTGGGTAAAACATCCATGAGTAGCTTCAGGTGTGTTTTCGCTGTTTAAATGAAACTCAGGTACTAGTCTTACACTGCAAAAAAAAGATCTAAATCTGATCTAAAAACAAATATTTCTTAAAATTAGTGAAATTGCACAGATAGACAACTCCAGAAGGTAAAACAGACAACAAGACTTTCTACTTTTTGGATCTGAATTATCCACCTATGTAGGTAAATAAGATGATCTGTAGATATAAATAAACTGAATTGAATTGAATAGATGCAATTAGTATTTTTTTAAATATTCAATATTTTACACTTGAAATAAGAGAGATGTTTTGTCTTAATCTAAATGTAAATCATTGTATTCCACTGGAAAACAGTCTTACTTGAAAGGGAAAAAACACCCATTTCAAGAAAGATTGCCTTAGTTATGTTATATTGTACCCCTTTGTAGGGTTTTCTTTTTTATGCAGGTTTCAGGTACAGAGTTTGCAATTCAATTTTCAGTCCTGGATTGATGGAAGGAATGAATTTCTAGTCCTCAATATGCCTTAGTTAGTATGTACTGATTTAAATAAAGGAATTTACTCATATTTTACTGTAAGGAAATACATTTTCATGACTCCATTTGAACTAAAGTACATACAGGAACTCATAGTTATCATGGTTTATTCAGACGTTGTAAATCTGTCATATTTCTAAAGACTCAGGTGGGACATAGATCGGAACCTGTGTTAACAAAACATGCTGAATTCTGAAAGTAGTCTCACAATAGATTGAGTTGGCCTTAGTGTGATTATTTAGTGAAGTATTTTATTAAAACACTTTGGTAAACAAAAATAAACTGATGTTCAAAGGTTTATGTAAATATATAACATACATTTTGTTTACAGGTAGGTGGTGCAAAATGAATCATGCGTCAACTTGTTTAATTACCCCATTTTAATTCAAACAAGGCTGTAAAACAGGAGTCTACATTTCCAGTTGGTATAAAGGGCAGCTTATTTAACCAGACTAGCTTCAAAACTAAATCTATTGCACAGAAACTGTACTTCTTTACTTTGGTAATACTAAAATACTGAAACATAATGAGGATTTTTTTTTTGGTTCTTAAACTTCTTCATCTGAACAGGAGATTGTGTAAATATTCTTTATTCGAAGTAAATACAGGTTTTAAGACATTCGAAACAGTTAAAATACAGCAGAGTCGTGACTGAAACCTAACCAGTTCATATTCCTGTCACCCTCTGAGCGAGTCCTGCAGCCTGATGTAAAGCAGGTTGTGAATAAAGTCGTCTTCCTGCTCCACAGCTGCCACACAAACATCCGGTGAACAAAGCAGATCTTGTCCTTTAACTGCTCATATTAGAACAAACTCGTCCATGCTGTTGTTTTCTTCATCATTCAGTTCATTGTCTCTCTGGATGTAAGCGAGATTGTGTGTGTGCGGGATCATTTCCTCTTCCATATCCCGCTGTTTCTCCTCAGAGAATATGAACATGGGGTAAGTCTCTGCAGATGTGGAGACGGCCTGTGAAGAAAAGGAAAGTTCCTGAACAGATCGATCGGTGCTCAATCAGTTTAAGAGAAATGTTAGCTCTGAGAAAATAGCAAGACGATCTGAACGTCATACCTCATTGACAGCTGCGCACATGCACTCAAACTCACTTTGGCCCTTAGCATAAAACCCTATGGTGCAGCTGGGGTCCATGCGAGAAAAGGACATTTTCCTGGGATTTTTACAGTGAAATGACTGCAAAAAAGGAAGAGAGATAAGTTATCATGAAAAAGGGTTAGCATTAAAGAGGCAGTATGTAATCATTACAGGGATTTACTGACATAGATGCAATAGATTAGATGCATTTTTTTTTATTTCATTACACTGTCACAAGTACAGAGCCACAGAATGAACTCTCTAAATTTAACCCATCCCTTTGGCGAGCAGTGAGCTGCGGCACCAAGGAGCAGTGTGGGGTTAGGATTCTTGCTCACAGACCCAGAGTGTCAGTCAGTGGGAGTGGGGCTCGAAATCAGAACCTCTGGATTTCAAGCGCAACGCCCTAACCACTAGGCTACACTCCCCTACAAAAGGAAGTATTCTCCCTGTTGACCAAGAATATATGTTATTTATTAATTAAGAACTGAAAGTCTCAATTTTTATGTTTGCCTCTCCTTAGAAACTGCTATTTATAATTGCATAGGAGTGGGTTCGCATCGGTGGAGGCAGACATATTCTGCTCTATGGAAGTGCAGAGGTGACAAACTAGTGGCTTTAGAGATCGCCATTAAGCTCAAACGGGAATGTGGAAAGTTATAGACCTATATACAATCCTGCAAGGACTGATAAAATATTATTTTAAAATATATCTATGTAAACTAGACTTCCACCAGCCGCGCAACCACCTGATTATAATGAAGATGACCGATTTATTCTGAGCGGACTTGCATCTTTCTTCTGTCCATGTTTGTTTTGGTCAAAGTGCCCAAAACGAGGGGCAAATCACTCGGATAAAAGAGGTAAGGTGAGACGGAGCTCCTTAGCTCAGACAGAAGCAGCAGGGAATCAGTGTGAGAGCAGCAGGAGAGAGAACTCCATAACTGGGATAAGTCGGCCAGCTATGCTGCTGTTTCATGTGGCTGCAGTCTGAGCGTTACCGTTACACATTGTAGCTTTAACACTGATGTGCAAAATGGTTCGTGCTCCTTGAACTTTTGCCACTTCCTCTGGTTAGATTCAAGAACGTTGTGTTTATTTCAGACTGAAACAAAGTAGCCAGAGAATGATTGTGAAGTGAAAGAAAAGCAGCACATGGCTTTCAAAAGTATTTCTGAATAAAAGGAAGAAAATATATATGTGGATTTTGGTGAGCAACAATTCAGTGGAAGTAAAGCTTAAAGTCCCCTTTGGGTGTTTGCCTCACAGCTTTAGAGATATTTTATGGTAATTTTCCCCCATTCTTTGCAAAACAGTTTGAGTTTGATCAAAATAGAGAAAATTTGTAGTGTCTGAAAATCTTTTTTTTAATCCTACCACAGGTACTTATTAAAATCAGGCCTGAACTGTGATTGAACCATTATAACACTGGTTTGATTTGCTTTTGAACTTCATTTTCTCCAAGTATTCTGCCATAAACATATTTAAATTCAATTCCATCTGCCTCCCCATTTACCTCAAATAGTTCCATGTCCCTTTTGAAGAAAAAAAAAAAAGCCCACAGCATGATGCTTCCACCCCCGTGTTACATTGCAGTTAGTTAAAAGGGACAAAAATAAATAAATGTTTCATGAAATGCACAAATTTAAATCAAATAAATACATGTACCATTAAATATCCCTTAAAAAAATTACTTTTTTGAATGAATAACAAAATAATTAGATATGAAACGAAATATACATTTTATTGAATGTTCGATTAAATATTTATGTACCATTATCTATTTAATATTCTATCTATTTAACATTAAAAATATAAAATCCACCATTAAATCAAGAAATTCAATTAATTAAATTCATTAAATAATTGAATATATCTTTTGAATTATGACATTTAATAATAATATTAATAGTAATTTCGTTCCAAATAAAGTCATTTACATGACAGTTGAAATTTTTTAAAGATGAGTCTGCTGCAGAGATCCCATGAAATAAAAAAAATGTTTAAGTGCATGACTATTTAAGATAAAAATAATTTCATGATGTGATTTGAAATTAATACTTCATTATCTAATGGCACATTTAATTATTTACTATTATACCATAATTTAATGGTTCATTCAATAGTATAGTGATGTATTAAATAAATAATGAATGGTACATTTAATTATATAATGGGACATTTAATGGTGGATTTATTGCTGAAGTTTACATTTCCTTATTTCATGGTAAATGTATGCATTTCATATTTCTATTTATTTATTAAAGGATACACATGGCTTGTTTTTCAAACTGTTACACAAATGAATTGTTAAGGCTTTCATTTTTGCTGCTCTTTCATAAAAGTCTTTTTTTTGAGCTGTAGACTTTTGCACATTTACACAATTCCTTCTGTTGGTCTATCACATTCATCTAAAAAAGCAGTTAAATGGGGCTTTTGGGGAGATAAATTGTGAAAAAAGTTCAAACTATGTGAATAATTTAGCTCAACCAGACTGCTGTAATTCCACTGAAACAGAGGAAGCGAGCTTTAAAGCTTAATCTATAAACCTGACCTATTCTAACCACTAATCTCTTTCTATCTCTGAACCTCAGAAAATCAAATGTAACAGTAAAACATTGAAAAAAAAACAAAAAAAAACGTGGCACTGATTTTTGTCATACCGATGTCAGTTATAATTTGTTTTTACTATATTTTAATACGTTATTAACTCAGGAGGTCTTACAGGAAGATGTGACAGAGAAAAAAGGAAAGGAAGTAAAATGCTACCTCTAGAGCAAAGTTGTCCTTTCTTATGTTCACAGTCGGCTGACAGTAGTGAGGGTCTAAGTACAGCAGCTGGTCATCTTGATCAGAGCAGCGATGGAGGGAGAAGGAGAAAAAATGAAGTGTTTTTTTTTTTTGTGGTAAAATCTACCAGAAAAATGAGCCATAATGTCACCTAGCATACCCTGGAAGCCGACGAAGAACAGAGAGTGCTTTGGTTTGCCACCAATGATCCCAATGCAGCACTGCAGCATCAACAGTTTCTTTAGAAAGTAAAACACAAAAAAAAAAACACACAAAAAATAAACACGTTGAAGATAACTGAAGACATCATGAGGCTCTTCAGGCTTTTTATAGATGATATCAGTTTTCTAAAAGGCCTGGATCTCAAAACCTTGTTTTTTTCAAAGCACTAAAAACTGAAGAATAAAATGTGTCAGGGCGGAGAAGGAAATATTTACATGATTGTCGCAGTGAATGCACTAATGCACATCTCTTTTTCCCTTTTCCTATTCAACTCAGCAAAAGCTAATTTAAGAACTTGAATTGTTCAAGTTTCCAGAGCTCCCCTGTTTCAACCTGTTACCCAAGCAGAGCTTATCAATTCGAAATTTTATGATTCTGAGCTCAAGTCAAAATATTGGTGCATCATGTTTTATCAACAACAACAATATTTCAAACATTTCAATACTTTGACACAGGAGATGTAGGAGGGATTGAGCTCTTGTCCTCCAAGTCGTACAGGAACCAGGACGATGACGGATTTCCAGCAGTGAGGGAGGGGCCGTTCACACAGCCCCCTTACATCCTGGAGGTATACTAAAAAAATGAAAGAAAAACATATATTCATACTACAGCATGCTGCATTCAAAGGGGTTACTCAGTGACCAGCCATGGTTACCATCAGCAATAAGCCAACCAATTGACCAGAGGTGGAAATCTGAAAAATATCCATTGATCCGACTAAAAGGCATCATATCTAGAAAATCACCTAATTTTTGCAATGTAATAGTATCAACCAATCACGCATTTGATTCACTGTTGAAAAAGGACATCACAATCAAGCGTTTCCACACTTATCTTAATCCTAATGGATGCTGACAGGTGCAAATTCACAGCAAAAAAAAGGGAAGAAGCAACAAAAATGTGGGATGCACACTCCAAAACACACGTACAAAAAGCAGGTACGACAGAAAAATGGTGGAAACAATACAGGAAACTTATCTGGGAGAAAGAAGCATCACATAACAATGATGAACAGTGGCTAAAACAACCAAGACCTGAATATACAAACCTCCCTGAACAAGGTTCTCTGGGCATCACAATGTCAGACCTCCAGCAAAGACTCTCGGGTATGAAGAACTGGACAGGGCCAGGGCCAGACATGATCCACAACTCCTGACTGAACAAACTGACTTCTCTCCATAAATGCCTAGCTACACAAATGACCTGGATGTTGAAGAGCAAAACACACCCTGAAAGGGCCGAACAGTCCTGATAGTATAAGATCCCGAGAAGGGCACAGTCCGAGGCAACTATCAGCCAATAAGCTGTCCTTCTGACACATGGAAGCCCCTGTCAGGCATCATAGAAGCAAAGATAAACAGGCACATGGATCAAGACATGACAGAGGAACAGAAAGGCACTGGTAAAAACACAAGAGGAGCCAAACACCAACTACTGGTTGACAGAACAGTTGCCCGAGACTCTAAAATCAGACAAACAAACCTGTGCACAGCCTGGGTTGATTACAAGAAAGCCTACGACTCAATGCCACACACGGGATTCTGGAATGCCTGAAGCTGTACGAGATCAACAGCCCTCTATTGCCCCTTTTCCACCTGAAGAACCATTGTTCTTGAACTGGGTCGGGGCCTGTGCCGTGGAATCTCGATGCTTGGTAACGTGCCAATGCCTGTTTGACCAGAAACGGAACAGAGTCCTTTGTCATCAGTGTTGGATATCCATCGCACACTCCATGGGGCTGTGGAAAACCAAACTTGAGGCCAACTCCAAGGCCCTTGCAAAAATCTCCATCAAATGCATTGTTCCCCCCTGCATAGGCCTGAACTCCCTCAGCCAAATAATCAAATGGGGACCTGAATAAAGAAATGGGGCCACTATCAGCAACCTCCTGATCATGAATGACAACAAGCTGTATGCTAAGAGTGACAAGACATTGACTTGGACATAACCAGGATCTACAGTAGGGACATTGGAATGTCATTCGAGCTAGAGAAATGTGGCCAGATGGTGAGAAGAACAGGGAAAGTAATCCACACAGAGGGGATCACACTCCATAAGGGAGAATAGCAGATGAAGAAAAGAGCTACAAGTACCTTGGAATGCAAGGAAAACAGCCAAATACCTCCAATGGGTAAGGCAAGTTCTGAGAAGTCAGGTGAATGGTAAGAACAAGGTCCAGGCCATCAACAGCTATGCCTTGCCAGTAATCAGATACCCTGCTGGGATAATAAGTTGGCTTAAGGAGGAAATTCAGGCCACTGATGTTTCTCACCATGCATGGTGGATTTCACCCCAAATCCAGCATCCACAGACTACACACTAAGCTAAAGGAAGGAGGCAGAGGCCTGGTGAGCATTAAAGCCACCATTGAAGAAGAAACATCCTAGGTCCAAGAATATATCAGGAAGATGGCCCAAAGGGATGAAGCGCTCAGTGAATGTCTCATACACTGGAAGCTGGAAATGAAGGAACTAGAGGTACCATAATGGGGAGGAAAAGCCCGTGCAAAAGATCTACCACTGACAGAAAGCTGAAGTGGTTAATATGACAAAATCCTATCAATCTAAAGAGGGCTGGGCTAAAGGAAAGTACAGAAGCACTGATCATAGCAGCACAGGAGCAGGCCTCAAGCATTAGAGCAATAGAGGCCCAGTTGTACCACACCAGGCAAGATCCCAGGTACAGGCTATGTAAAGAGGCCCCAGACACAATCCACCAACTCACAGTAGGGTGTATGATACCAACAGGAAAGGAATACACTGAATGTAATAACCAAGTGTCTGTTATTGTGAATTGAAACATCTGTGCAGAAAACAAATCGGAGATCCCCAGGTCACAATGGGAGCCACCTCCCAAAATCCTGTGGGACTTCCAGATACAAACAGACAAAATGGGTGCGGTCAACCAACCGGACATTGTGGCTTAATTACCTGATGGTTTCATGCCATCTCAATCAATAAACCTCTTTTTTGTTTAAATTTGTCAGAAAAAGAAAAAAGGAAGACACTTACCAGTACAGTCTTGTGCCACATAAACAACCAGATTGGGGAGGTCCACTGATGCCGCTACAGCTTTCCTGTAACAGGATCAAACTCATTGTTACAATTTGACAAATCTTTAGATTCTATAAATTGTCAGTAATTCACAGCTCACTTCAGGATGTGTGCCACAATGGATGGACCATACCAGTCGCCGGCTTTCTTCCCTGAGCTTTTACCCAACTCTACCAGCTTGTGAATGCCAAACGGGGCTGCAGGGTTGTCTGCGAACCAGGACACCACCCTTCTGTGGGTGGCCTCCATGGGTCTGTCCAGGAGGGAACCAACGCTCAGCTTCCTCCCCCTCTTATTTCCTCCCCCTTCTTCTGCCATCCACCCACCCTCTGCACCGTCAGCGGGGTGAAGCAGGTCCAAGTCGTCTTTGACGGCACAGTATCTCACTGACCAAGTCCAACCTCCACAGAGATGAAAGAGATGAAGACATCAATCAGTTTCAGTTGGCGGGAAAAGTCTTTTGCCAGTTTTATAATCTTTAAAGCTTCAGTTTTTGTAGTGAAGATTTCATTGCAAATCAATCAGAAACCAGTTAATTTATTTCATAGAGCCAAACTAGCTGGCACAGATTACATCATATAATGCCATTATAGTCACATCATGATCTCAATCTAATCACAGCTATAAAATAAACTAAGTCCTCTCATGAGATTAGTAATAGTCCCCTCCAAAAGAAAAGCCTTACCTCCAGAAACATATACTACAGCAGAGTTTTATACATTATAATGATTTAAGTTAAGTAATCCCCTTTCTATACATCAACCAACTTAACATGTCCAAACTTATTAGTGCTTGGATATATAAAAACATATATACTTTGAAAACCTACTTCTACAAAAGTGTAAACATCCAATGAAAATGTATGATAGCACAATTCCTTCCACTAAATATGGTTAAAAACTAAATGTGGGCATACAATATACAAGGCTTACAATATTGCCTGTGAGAGTGCTACATTTTCTTTAAACCTGACTGAACTAAGACTGTTCAGCTCTGCATAAAGTATTGCTTAACAATTACTATTCAGTGTGCAGCAGATAGTAACATTTGTCACTGAGGCTTCTGTTTCTCATTCAGTTAGTGACATAAATAATCCATGTTCCTGGTAACCCCCTCCTAACTGCCAGTTCTATTCTGATTTATTATTCTTATTCTCATTTATTAGGGGGACCGTGAAAGCACCTCTGTCGTAGCTTTTGTGTCCATTCAGATTTGAGGTACTCGGATTGAGCCAATATGCTTGAATATCGTAAAGCAGGGGTCTTAAGCGTTTCAAGGCCAAGGACCCCCAAACTGATGGCGAGATGGAGCGGGGACCGCCTAATTATATATATTTTATATGAAATTGTGTTATATCAAACTGGTCCTACAGTCATTCTATTACAGATGGTGTCATGTAACGAAAGTTGCATGACTCCATCCAATATTTTAATAATCCTGGGTTTATTGAAGTATTTATAATTTTGATTCGGATTCCTCGTTGATAGGATAGGTGTTGTGAATGAAATGGTGCCCAGCAATGTGTGCATTGATGACTGAAAGACATCTTTTGCCTCTTTTTATCGGTTTACTACAGTTTGTTGAACTCATGTGTATTTAAAGACATTTCAATCAGTAGAATAAATTGTGGGGGGAATCTAAAAGAAAAAGTCTAATCAACCAAAACTTTCGTGACCCCCATGCAGTACCTCTGTGGACCCCCTAGGGGTCACGGACCCCCTGTTAAAGACCTCCGCCCTAGTGGACAACTCTGTGATACCGCTTGTGCGTCAGATTTATGGGTGTACAAGAAACAGGGAGTAAAATGGTTTCCAGTTGGGATTTTAGTATGCATATAATAATGCAATAAAATTAGTTCATTATTTTTTATTAAATATTGTGTTAAAGTCCTGGCGCTAAAAAAAACAACAAAAAATATCAGATCATAAATTATAGAAATAATAGAAAATCAGCGTCTGACTCAGCAACAGTTTAATCTAATCAACTCATTGAAAGGATATTTTCATGTTTGCGTTGTCACCTGGTGGCATCAGGTGTATCAGCAGGCCTTGAGCCAGCAGCATCTGGCCTGTACGCAGAACACACCCCCAACCGCTATCAGTGGTCAGAGAGGAGCCGGGCAGCTGGGGGAAGCCCCGTCTGTATGTCAGCCACAGGAAGGATGCAAAGGTGCGACGGAAACGCTCTTTGTCCCCTGAAAGGGTTAAGAAAACGAATTCAGATCTCTAGAAATATTATCCTACGGTCAATCTTTGTCGAAATCTCACCATCATCTTTGAGATTGTAGGTCTTCCCCAGCATGATAAGAGGGGAGCTCTTGTTGAATTTGGATTTCTGCTTCAAGGGCCAGCCTGATCAATTAGAGAGAGGGGTTACACAAGAAGGGAAAACACAAACCAAAACAACAAATCACAAATATGTGCAGGGAACAGCAGGACCGACCGTATTTCATGCTGTTCCATGCTGAGACCAGGCGGGATTTGAATTTGCCTTTTTCCTCTGCCCCCTGATCCTTGCTGCACACCTCTTGCCTTAGCGCACCAGCTGACACAGAGGGGAGCAGATCCCAGTCACCCAATTGGTCGTCAGCAACAGACCTGCCATAAATGTAGGTGGAGGACGTGGTGGGGTCCATGACTAATGCAGATTATCATGGCTGCATGAGAAGAACTGCTCCATCTCTCCGCATCAGCCTAGCAGGGACAAAACAACAACAAAAAAAAACACTTGTTTTTGTAAGCATTTGACACAAGAAGCACTTCATAAGGAACTTTACAGTTTATTAAAAACACAAAACATCCTTCTTTATCTGTAACCGGCAATCTAATTTTAACCTTATTGTCTGAGATAATAAACAGAACGGCAGACATGTGACTGCGCCCTGTGACTAATGGAATGTCAGGTATGTCAATTTAACTGTAACTGCTGTGTCACTTTCTAGTCTGCATGAAGGGAATCACTTTGCATGCTCTCTACTGCATGAAGGAATGAACATGCAGAGGGTCGGTCAGCTGTGGTGCCGGATGCAGATTCGGATTAAATTTGGTTTTATGTTGATTTGAATTGCATTAATTGTACAAATTGTGGAAATAAACAATGCAGGCACTACTGAACTGTAAATACTTTATATTGAGCTGTATACCTCAGTCTGCTGATTTTCAACCTAAAGGTCAGGACTTTCAAAATGCTCATGAGATAAGTCCCTGCAAGGAGAAATCTTACAAAATCAAGGTTTTTTTTTCTAGTTTAGGAACAAAACTATTTACTATGTTCCTTTTTACTGACAATAGGGGTGTGGAAACAAATAGTTTTGGCAATATATCAAGATTTTTGGCTGCCTGATATAATATCGATATTTTAGTTCCTAATATCATTTTTTAAAGCAAAGTTTTTTTCACCTAAAAGTGAGGGAAAATGGGCTACCTTTGTACCCCCACTCTGGCAGATAATGCTGTGTGACGCAGCGCAATATCTGTAGCAGAGGCAGTCAGAGTGGAAGACGTGGACTGACTCAAACCCCAAGCAACATGGATACTAAAAGACAATTACAATTTCGGCTTTCTATCACCTGAAGAACATTTCCAGGATTAAAGGACTAATGTCTCAGCATGATCTGGAAAAACTAATCCATGCGTTTATTTTTAGTCGAATTGATTACTGCAACAGTGTTTTCACAGTTCTGCCTAAAAAGTGGATCAGACAGCTGCAGCTGATCCAGAACGCTGCTGCCCGTGTCCTCACTAAGACTAAGAAAGTAGAGCACATCAGCCCAGTTCTGACGTCCTTCCACTGGCTCCCTGTATCTCAGAGAATAGACTTTAAAATATTTCTGTTAGTCTATAAATCTCTGAATGGCTTAGCACCTAAATACATCACAGACTTGCTATCAGTGTATCAACCCTCCAGACCACTCAGGTCTTCTGGCTCCAGCCTGCTCTGCATACCTAGAACCAGAACTAAACATGGAGAAGCAGCATTTAGTTCCTATGCTCCACTTATCTGGAACAAACTTCCAGAAAACTGTAAAAGTGCGGAAAGCCTGAGTTCCTTTAAATCAAGACTAAAAACACATTTGTTTAGGATTGCCTTCGACTGTTCTAGTTAAACAGTTCAACTAAAACATCATTAGTTCAACCTTTTTTATTTTTCTTTAGTCCAACTGTTTTTAATATTCTTTTTTGTTTCTGCTTTTTTATTTTATTTTATTTATTTTTCCTACTTGCTTTGTGATTTCAATCATGTAAAGCACTTTGCATTGTCTTTGTACTGAATTGTGCTATACAAATAAATTTGCCTTGCCTAAAATAACTGAACGATCAATATCATCTGATGAACAGATACAGAGGATGCTTTTTTATCTATACATTTAATTTTGATAGCAGGAAAAATATCGTTACATATGGTGATATTGTGATGTGGTGATAATATTTTATCATGACCCAAGTATTGTGAAGAGTATCGTATTGTAAAACCCATGCCAATAATCAGCCCTAACTGGCAATATGCTTTTTTTGTGCCATTCATCAAATGCAATGCTAAAAACTCTCAGTAATATTGTTCTATACTATAGCATATCTGGTCTTTAATATGTTAAGTATTTTTAGGAGCTTCTGGTTCGGTTTGAACAAAATCTTATATATTGTTCAAAAGATGAAAGACAGACAATAGATATCTGTAATAGCAGTGGTGATACCAAAGAAAAGAACTGTCTCTTAACTCCCCCGAAAACAATAAAAGTACAAGCAGTCGATTTTTTATTTTTTTTGGAGCCTTAAAAAAAAAAAAAAAAAAGTTAGATCCTTGGTTTGTGTTAGTTTCAGTATAGATTGGGATTTCTTTCCCTGAACTGGTGCATTATGGTTAAAAGAAAAATCAGAAATTATCATTTAGAATGATTTCTTTTTATTTGATTTTGCATTTATGTTATTACTTAAAAAAATGTATATATATATATATATATATATATATATATATATATATATATATATATACATTCATACATACATACAATAAAACACAAAATAAAATTTAAAAATTATAGTTTTATATAAAATATTGTTCAAATGTTTATTATTATTTTTCGTAAACTTTAATTAGATAGTTTAAAGCCTGATCGAAACATAAAGGGGAAATGAAAGACAGATGTTTCAAAATTGAGAAAAGTTTTTTTTAAAAACGAGGTAAGCGCTAGAATAAAGAACATAAAAAGCTGATCAGATTCATGTTGTTTACACATCTAGGCCATCGCAGTTTAACCTAATGGGATACTATCAATAACTTTCAGCTATTTCCATTTAACTACAGTGTCAGTAAAATGCATTTACCTGCTGTTTAATCCCATTTCTCTTCCGTTAAACAGCGACAGTTTCTGAAGAAATTGGTGGAGTACCAGGCGGGGTTGTTTGGACGGTGCTTGACTCCAAACTCGGGACCCCCGAGTGGTGAAATGGCAAAGCGGAGCGGACTCTCTCCGCTGACTGGTTTCCACTCACTTCCTGTTTATGACGGTCACGTGTTCGCTGGTCTCTGATTGGTCAGCCTCAGGTCAGCGGGAGGGAGCCTCGCGCTGATGAGCCAATGTAACAAGAAAGGTTTGGAACCGCCGACTGCATGGTGACAGACACTATTACATTTATAAATTAATTAAAAACAACCGAACAAATAAATAAAATATCAAATGTATTTCATGTGTTACAAACTCTCCTCAAAGTCCCACAAGTTTTATTTGTGAACAATGAGATTTAATTGAGTGCAACATTTTTATTTGATAAGATTTGTTTGTGTAAAATATGCTTTATGTGTGTGTGCAACATCCTTTTTTTAAATGCAACGTTTTGGCAGAAAATTAACTCCATACAGAATTATCAGTGGACCAATAATCTCAGATCCCTGTTTCTAGTCTATTCTCTGCACTCCCATAACCAGAACCAAACATGGAGAAGCAGCTTTTAGTTTTCATGTTCCATTGATACTGTAAAAATGCTGAAACTCTCAGTTGCTTTAAATCGGAATATCAAAGGTATCTGTTTATAGTGGCCTTTGAATGTGCTATGTAAACATTATTTGTTTAAATTTGTAGTCCAACTCTTCTTTTGTTTTATTTCTATTTGACCAGTATTTTCCTTGTGTCTTTTTCTATCATGTACAGAACTTTGTATTGCCTTTGTACTAAAATGTGCTTTATAAATAAAAATGTTCTGCCTAATAAAACAATCAAATGTCTTCTGGATGTGGTGCTACTCTATTCTAGTTTACATCCAAGGATATGGAAATCAGTTATCTTTGAATTCATTTCAGATCAATCCAGTTATCAGTTCAAATTCAGATCCAGTTACAAACAGACCAGGGCTGAGAGAAGGCGCAACCCACAACCAGCCTGTCTGCTGTTTGTTACTTTAGCACGCAGCCCAAGCAATAAACAGAAATTTAACAAAATATATGCTATGCACAATAAGCAAATGAAAAGCACTAATTGAAAGCAGGTTTTGATAGCTTAGCTTAGGTCGGTGTATGATAGCAGTGGGTCATCTCATGTTAGCAGGAAGCCATTACAACAGATGCAAACAAGTGATGAGGCTGTAGTAATATTACTCCACATAGCATAGTATCCTCATCATTGTATATAGCTTATTCAGTCAACAGTTCTTACTGCATAAACTGTCCTAAATTAAGTGTAGGGTAGTTGTTATCCTTGATTTCTTTGCTATAGAAGACAAAAGCAGCAGCTTTCAATAGAAACTTTTTACAGTTTAGATTTCACAAAAGGGCACAGTGGGTAGCACTGCTGCCTTGCAGCAAGAAGGTTCTGGGATCGATTCCCAGCCCAGGGTCTTTCTGCATGGAGTTTGGATGTTCTCCCTGAGCATGCACAGGTTTTCTCCGGGTACTCCGGCTTCCTCCCACAGTCCAAAAACATGACTGTTATGTTAATTGGCTCTTCTTAATTCTCCTTGGGTGTGAGTGTGGTGTGTGTCTCTGTGGGGTCTCTGTGTTGCCCTGCGATGGACTGGCAACCTGTCCAGGGTGCACCCTGCCTCTTGCCCATTGACTGCTGCAGATAGGCACCAGCACCCCTTGCGACAAGCGTGTCAGATAATGGATGGATGGAATTCATGTAATAATATTATTGTTTATTTAAATATTTTGAATACGCAAACAGAGGGTTAGTGCTTAGGGGAAGCTTTTAAGGGTTTGGGATTCTACCAATGAGTCCACTTAATCAGCTGGTTTCCCTTAGATAAAACATTTTGGACCAATCTGACTATGTTACCTGTGTAAATGAACAGAACTGAATAAAACTTTTATAATTGCTGCGTTTCTCTGTGTGATCCAGGTTGAAATAGTCCAACTACAACATATAATAAAATATGTGACTTTAATGTGACAAAAGACATTTTTGTTACTGTAAATGAGTTTTGCACTCTAAGCTGTTTTGTCATAGTTTCCTCAACCATGATTCATGTGGATAAGATATTATAATTTATTTTACTTCCATATCTTTACAGTTTTAATTGTTGTGACCTAGACAAACTGAATTCAGTGGAAAAATCCTTTATTTTGTATATTTAAAATGTACATCTGTCCATATAATTGGACTGAATTGACAAGATACTTTAATAAAAAAATAAAACACCGAAATAACTTGAATCTGACAAAAGCAATAATTGAAAATTCTGTAAAAATGAACAAATAAAAGTCAGACAATGCTTTTAATCAACATAACCTAATAAATGGGTCTAGACAAAAATGATGGTACTCCCAACTTAATATCTTGTTGCTCGATGTTTGAGGCAATCAAACAATTCCTGTCAATGAGACTTCTACACCTTTCAGCAGACATTGTTGCCCATCCTTCATGAGCAAACTGCTCCAGTGTACTCAGGTTGGTAGGGGGCCTTTTCTAGACAGAATGTTTCAGCTTCTTCAAAGATGCTCAATAGGATTTAGCTCAAGGCCAGAGGTGTCAACTAACGAAGTACAAATACTTTGTTACTGTACTTAAGTACACTTTTTAGGTATTTATACTGTACTCCATTACTTATTTTTCTTCCATCTTCTGACTTCTACTCATTACATTTTTACACACGTATCTGTACTTTCTGTTCCGTACATTTTAAAACAAACGTTACTCAATACTCTTGGCTTTGGTTTAATGTTTATAAATATTTATTTCACGTCATGTGCGTCATCCAATGCAGATCATTGCCGCCATCCACTTCTAGTGAAAACTAGTGTAACTGGATGCGTCATATAACGCAAACACTCATTGGTTAGCTAAAGGGAATCATCAGAAGCAAGCAGCTGTTCTTCAAACTGCAAACCTGAATTGTCTACGCCATGCTACAATGTCGGATTCAGAAAAAGATGATGAAATGTCTGAAAGGTCATACACAGGCGAGAGAGTATTGGGAGATGGAGACGGAGACCAACAA